TGAGGTGCCTGCATTTTGGTAATGCAATCAGGGCAGGACTTATACATTTAAACGTAGGGTACTGGGAAGAGTTGCTAAACAAAGAGACCTTGGGGTGTAGATTCATAGCTCCTTGAAAGTGGAGTCACAGGTAGACAGAGTAATGAAGAAGACATTTGGTACACTTGCCTTTATTGGTCAGTGCATTGAGTATAGGAGCTGAGATGTCATACTGCGGCTGTACAGAATATTGGTTAGGCCACTTCTGGAATACTGTATTCAGTTCTGCTCTCCCTGCTATAGGAAAGATGTTATTAAACTTGAAAGGGTGTAGAAAAGACTTACAATGATGTTGTCAGGGTTAGAGGGTTTGAGCTAAAGGAAGAGGCTGAACAGGCTGGGGCTGTTTTCCCTGAAACATCAGAGGTTGAAAGGTGACCTTTATAGAGGTTTATAAAATCATGAGGAGCATGTATAGGGTGAATAGCCAAGGTCTTTTTTCCCAGGATACGGGAGTCCAAAGCTAGAGATCTTAGGTGTAAGGTGAGAATGGAAAGATATAAAAGGGACCTAACGAGAACTTTTTCATGTAGAGGGTGGTCCGCGTATTTATTGAGCTGCCAGAGGAGGTGGTGGTGGCTAGTACAATTACAATATTTAAAAGACAGCTGGATAGGTGCATGTATAGGAAGGGTTTAGAGGGATATGGGCCAAATACTGGCAAATGGGACTAGATTAGTTTAGGATATCTGGTCAGCATGGACGAGTTGGACTGAAGTGCTGTACAACTCTAAGACTCTATGAATAGTCAGTTTATTCACAGCGTGCCTTGGGTAAAACTAGTCTGATATACTCATGCCTTAATGGTATTGCCAATTTCAGTGCAGGTATGTTTTAAATTCAGTGTTTGATTTCCCTACCACAATAAAGGAGCTGACATATGAGAACAGAACAAGCTTCATTAATATTAGAGCTGTCAATATTCGTTTATCTTTCATCTCAGACAGTCAGAGCAGTCCACAGAATGGCATTCATCTGCCAAATAAAGAGAACACAGTTTTTGAACAGATGACTTACAGCTCTGTAATTTCTGTGGTGGGTAGTTTTTTTATATGTTTGCTGTAATGAAATGGAGCTTCTTTATTAAATGTGCCTAACATGCCTATTAAATTTTAAATAATTGGATTGTGATTTGAATGGACTTGTGAATTTATACGAAGAAATTCATAAATGAGCACTGAATGCTTTAAAGAGATAAGAATATTTCTGATCAGTGAGCTCATGCATAGCTGTTAAACAAATCAGGGAGTTGAATAGCATGTTCTGGGAGGCGAGAGAGGAGAGGTGTGTAGCATTGGTAGTGAGGATGACAAAGCTATTCCATTCTGATGCGCTCCATCAGGCTAGGACCAGTTTCTTGACAAATGGTATAATTAGAACTATAGATGGTATTCGAATTGAGAAAGAGTACAGAGGCTTCAAGTGAGAGACTATTTATAAATCTAAAGTGAAAAGTCAAACCAACAGAGCAAGGTAGAAATTTATAGGAGTAAAGTTTATTGTTAATAGTACAACAATATTAACAGCCCAATTTGAGATAAACAGGTCTGATCCAGTAGCCTTTTACAGTGACAGAAATTGCTAGCAAAACCCAGCAAGTCTGGCAGCATTCGTGGGGAGAAAGCAGGGTTAATGTTTAGAGTCCGGTGACTCTTCACTCGAAACATTAAACTTTGCTCTTTCCTGACAGATACTGCCAGACATGCAAAGTTTCGCCTGAAGTTTCTGTTTTTGTTTCAGATTTCCAGCATCTACAGATCTTTATTTTTTTTAACAGTTTCTGATATGTAGGTCTGAGCAGATACCTGACAGTTCCAGCTTGCTACTTACTCCTCCAGGTCTCCATCTTGCTCAGCATTTCCCGTCACCTCAGGGCACACTCTCTGATCAGCGATTGCTTTGTCCATAGAGATGAGCATCAGAAGCAGTCCAACTTACCACATCATCATAGCACATCTCTGACTCACTCATAATATAGTTCTTCAGTGCACTTCACTTTGGAGTGCAGTGACATCTTTCATTGCAATGCAGCAGCCAGACCACTGTGCACACAAAGAAAGAAAGCATGGTTCATTTTCTGAAGAAGGGTCTAGACCCGAAACGTCAGCTTTCCTGCTCCTCTGATGCTGCTTGGCCTGCTGTCTTTATCCACCTCTACACCTTATTATCTCATGGTTCACATGAGCTTGTTCTCTTAGCACTCACTCACTTTGCAGTTGGATTCTCACTGTATCTCTGCCTTGCCTTGTCTTTTTACACATTGTTGCCTCATTCAGAATTTACAGTCAAACAGTACTTCTGCCTTGGAGATAGTAGGAACTGCAGATGCTGGAGAATCCGAGACAACAAGGTGCAGGGCTGGATGAACACAGCAGGCCAAGCAGCATCATAGGAGCAGAGAGGCTGACGTTTCGGGCCTCGACCCTTCATCAGAAAAGTACTTCTGCCTTGCCTTGCCTTTTAGCACAGACACAAAGTTGGGCGGCTTATCATGTTTGCAAGCAGGGATCAATCAAGCCAGTGAACATATTGCTGTATGGCACTGTGCTACAGCAATGTCATACCTACAGCGTGTGCCAGCAACTCATGTGACAAGTATACTGAGTATGCTTCAACCAAATGGCCTTGTCTCAAAGTCTAAGCAGTGTAGTCCTTAGTCAAGACACGGGACCTATCGTCAGTCGGGGGTCCCACTACAGTCAGTCAAGGGCAGCATCTGGTCTCAACCCAGGAGCTTGGACATTGTCAGTCAGCCACTTGAACAGTCAGGCTCAGAGGTTCCATATCATTACAGTCTAGGAATTGGGTGACAGTCAGTCGCACAGGCTGAAGCCAGCCAGTAGGGGGATTAATGGCAAGTCAATCAGGACATTGCACAGAGCTCGGCAGCAATCTAGTCACTTTTCAGTCAGAGCTATTACTTCAAGTTGATCATGTGGGTGGGCCTCAATCAGCCCAGGGGGTCCATTCACTGAAAGTCAAGGTAGGTTCACAGGGGCAACTGCTGTGCTGAGCACATTGGACACATCAATTACAGGGTCTGAAGACTGCATGCTGGGATGCAGTGGGGACAATAATTGTAACAGCGGATGTGAGGGTTGCAACTCAACATAAGGGTAAGAGGTAATAGTACACTGGAGAACATGGTCTACGCAGGGACGAGAATCATTTCTGGACACCACCATGCTGATTTTTGCAGTGGGAGAGTGCATCACGATAAGTTTGCCTGACTAGGGTCAAGGGTCAAGGGTAATGTTGGGAAATGTAGTCTTAAATGAAAAAATGCCTTTCATCCTCATCCAAATTGCAAATGCATTGCCACAAATGAAAAATGGCTGTCACTACACCCAAAGTGGGTGGAGTAAGTGATTTTTTTTTCAGGACACTGGCTCTATTTTTGAGCAATGTGAGGCCCTTCAATAGGCATTTGCATGAATAAGACACTTACATAACACCAGGTTTAAGATATCAGTTATGATAGAATTCTGCATGTCAAACACTTGCAGTGATCAACTACGTTGATAACAAATCACAGCCACAAGTAATCATGACATTGTGATTACAGATTGATCATAGACTTCTCTGTGAAGCTCACGTATCACAGGTGATCTTAAAAACATTATCTGTGAGCCACAATTCAAAAAGACAGTCCAATATCTCATAGTTGGTAGAGCATGGACCTGATTGCTTCTCACCTTGAACTGTAATTAATTCACAACATGCTCTTGTATGCTATACTGCCTTTCTTAGGTGATATTGAGAGGCAGTGGGCGGTGCAAAGTTTCAGCAATCCGACCACAACTACAGTCTCCAGCTGCATTTGTGACATGTCTTGTGCTGCATACATCGCAATAAGGTCTGCTGTGTCAGAGATCCATGTGGAGATGTTCCATGACTCTCCTTGTTGGAGTCCTCCATGTCCCACTGTATTGAAGACTATGCTAAACTGTCACTTGTATGTGATACAAATGTTGACAGCACAGTCTGGTGAATTGATTTCACAACCTCTTTAATGTGCTTGTTACTTTTCTGAAGGTGAGATCAAACAGGCAGAGTTGATTGCTCCCACATAGTAGATAGCCAGTCAAGCTCATTTAAGAATCTTATTAAGCACACTTCTAGAAGACTGACTGGGATTTTCCAGTTGCTCTCGAATTTCCCACAGTAAGACCATACATAACAAGGGCCTTCTCTTTCATTTACCTGCCGTCTCAGTTTACTTCTCCTCTCAAGCTAGATGATTCTAATTAACTGTCCAGCTTCAAAAGCCTGTCTATGACCCCTAATTGAACAGCAAACTGTCTCAGTGCCAATTAAGGGGCCGTAACCAATTGTCCAGAGGTATGTCCAGACCAAGCAACAGACCACCTTTTAGTATCTCTACATAGGGAAGATATAATTGCCTTCGAATGCGTGCAATGAAGATTCAGTAGGTTAATTGCTGGTATGAGAGGGTTACCCAATGAGAAAAGATTGAGCAGAATTGGATGATAACTCTGGAGTTTAGAGGAAGGAGAGGTCATCTCTTTGAAACAAAAATTCAAAGTGGGTTTGACAGGCTAAATGCTAAGAGATGCTTGGTAGGTCAAGAATTAAGATAAAGGGATGACCATGTTCGACTGAGTTGAGAAGAAATATCTGCATTCAAAGATACTGAGTCTTTGCAGTTCTGTAGCTCAGAGGGTTCTGGATGTTGAATTGTTGAGTATATTCAAGATTGATATCAATGGACTTTGGGACTCTATCAAGTCAGGGAATGTAGGGATTGGATAGACCAGTAATGTTAAGATTGAAGGACTCAGCAAATGACAGAGCAGGCTCAATAGTCTCTGTAATGGTCTACTTCACCCACTGTTTCTGATGTTTTTATTTCTTCTCATGGAAGTTGAAGTGTTACAAAAACTTACAATAGTGGTTTAAATTATATAATAATAATGGAGTTTTGCTGTACTCTATTGCAGTTTCTTTCAGGAAGGCTTGAAAACAGCTGAGAAGATAAAGCATTATGTTGAAATGCTTACTGCAGATTTACAGAATGTGAGTATAAAACTGTTTACCTTAGAATTGCTGATAGAAATGATCAGAAATTTTGCAAGATCGACAAAGGAGATTCAAATGGAGCATAAACTTTGGCATGGCCTGGTTGGGTCTTTGGCCTGTGCTTGTGCTGTATATTGTGTGTAATTCATATAATTAAAGAATAATAAAGAAAGAAAAGCAACTTGAGTTGCATGTTTCTAATTCTTAGAATATTCCAAGGTATTTCATAGACATTAATTTCTTTTTGATGTACAGTCTCCTTTGTTATTCAGACAGTGTTGTATGCAAGTATGTGCCATCCAAAGACACCCAAACATGCAAAATGAATGAACAGACAATTCGTTCTGCAGTAATGATTGATAAATGAATGCTGTCAATAGAGCCCAGGGAAATATCTGTCCTTTCTTAGAAAGTGCTGTAAAATCTTAGGGGAAATGTTTACCTGTTCCTTTTCTTTACAGGTGATTTTCAATAGGCACATAGACTGGTTAGAAAAATTAAAACACATGAAATTAAAGAGACTGTGGCAAAATGGATATAGTATTGGTGACATGACAGAAAGCAAAGAGTGGAGGTGAAAGTTTTTCGGATTGTATGCAGCTATACAGTGTTATTCCCCCATTGGTCAGGATTGTAAACTGTTGATATTGATTAATGACCTGAATTTGGTAATTAGGGCACACTTTCAAAACTTTCAGGTACGAAACTCTCAAGTTTAGTAAACAATCCAAAGTGCAGTAAAATTTTTGAGGATGAAATAGACCAGCGAAATGAATAGACTTGTGGCAGATGAAATTTATCACGTTAAGTGAAACACGTTAAGGAAAAACAGGAGAGAAAAATGAATAGAACAAGATTAAAGGGGTTGCAAGAATCAAGATACCTGTTGTATATATTTTTAATCAACTTGTTTAGACATGTTATGACCCACTTCCTTAGCAGGTGGGTCTTGAATATGAACTTGTAACCCAGAGGTGGGGACAATACCGTTGTATCACAAAAATCGGAGAATGACAGAATTGTAACAGCGCATAAAAATGCCATTTGACCCATCATGCCTGCACTGTTTCTATTAACTAGTGCCTATCTCTTGCCTTTTTCCCCTTATTCCTGCCCATCATTTCTATCCAAGTAATCATCCAATGCCTCAATTGAACCTGCCTTCACGGCATTTCCAAGCAGTGCATTCCATACCTTAACTAAGTTTTTTTTTTCCTCATTTCACCTTTGCTTCGTTTGCAATTCACTTTAAATGTATGACCCCTCATTCTTTCTAATTTTAACAGAAGAAAATTTCTACTCTGTCCAGTTTTAGATTTGCGATTTTGAAAACATCTATGAAATTTTCTCTCAGCCTCCTTTCAGAGAATAATCAATCTTCTTCAATCTTTCTCAATAACTGAAGTTTCTCATCTTGAAACCAAGAACTTGTTATAAGATTCTTATTGTGTATATATATATGCAAATCTTTGAACATGGTATGACAAGTTAAGAGTGTATTTTTAAAAATTATTTGTGACTTTTTGGCTTATCTAAAGAAGGAATAGTGTATAGAAGCAAGGAAGTTGTGCTGAAAATTTCTAAAACACTGGTCGGGCATCCATTGGAATATTGTTTTTAATTCTGGGCAGCAAACTGCAAAAAGGATGTGCAAAAAGATTTATTAGAATTGTACCAAGCATGTGAAAGTTCCATTATGTGAAGACACTGGAGGAACTGCATTATTAACTTTAGAGAAGATAGTAAAAATGAAATTTAATTTGGTTTTGTTACAGCATAAAGGAATAAAATGTTTTCAAGGCTGGTACCAAAAAGTATAGAGTTAAAGTGGTTAGCAAAGAACCAGAGATGACATGAAAAAACAACTTTTACATAGTGGTTGTGCTCTTGAAAAATTCACAGGACCTCAAAGAAGAAAGCAGAGGAGGGAAATTAATTAAATAGATATACCAAAGAACAAGAATGTGAAAACAAATATAATCAAATAGTCAATAAATCAAAGCACTGAAGTTTGCATCCCTCTACTAAGGCATTTCTAAGTGGCTGTGTTGGGGTGTGCAAACGAAATCCAGTAAGTGGCCTTTCCACCAGCTACCTGTTTGCCACTGACCTGTCTAAAATTGTATAGGACTGCAGGGGATACACAGGTGGCCAACCCATGCTTGAGCTTTCAAGGCCCTCCTTTGGCTAATTGATGACCACTTAAGGGCCTCAACCTACCATTGCTAGTATTTTATCTAATGGAAGGAGGCCCAGCAGTGTTAGTTCTACAGGATAGTGTCAAACGAGATGAGGGACATGTCCTTTGCAGAGTCCTGACCAAATAGATACATTAAACACCCTCCCACCCCCAAGATCATGCCTGCTGCCCTCTTTCCTTCTTTAACCTTCACCCCTTTCTGCCCTCAACTTCCTTTCTGAGATCCCATACTCCAGAATAACCTGAGTTTTTCAGCATGGTGGAACTGCCTGTAGACACAGTAGTGGCCACCACACCTATCTAGAATTGTTGGGACCATTTGCTGCTGTCTTCCTAATTTTCTGGCAGCTCTCTAAGTAAGGAGCTGAAGTATTACCTTGAAGTAGTGACAATGATCCCAATATTAAATTGCTATGAGGCAACCATCAACGTCATGCTCTGGCTCACCCATTTTTTTTAATCAAAAGAACATGTATTGTTCACCCTTAAAATATAACATAGAATCAAATAATACATAGAAGCACTGAACAATAGAGGCAGAGGATCATTGAGACTTTGCTTGTGTTGTCAAAGAGCAGTCCAGTTATTCCCATTTACCCCTCTTTCCACCAATCCCTGCAGCTTTTTTTTTATTTATTCAATTCCATTTTGAAGCCAACAATTGAATCTGTATCCACCATGCTATCAGGAAATGCATTCCAAATCCCATGCACAAATTTCATAGAAACATTTTCCGTTGAATAAATTCTAGTTCTTTTGCAAGTCACCTTCAACCTTTACCTTCTGGTTATCAATCCTTCAGCCGTTGCAAATAGTTCCTCCTTATTTACACTATTTAAGTATGCACAAATTTAATCAGCTCTGTCAAATCTAATCGTAACCTTCCTATATTCTACGCCTCAATTTATAAATCCCAGGATCCCAATTGCTTTATTAACTGCTTTGTTTCTCCGACTCGCCCACCTTCAAACGTTTTGTGTGCAAAAAATTCCCAAGTGTCATCCTTTATCTCTTTTAAATTCTACTACTTAGTGCTCATTGTTTTTCCTTAGCTTCTTCCCAAATTAGTTATCTAACACTTCCTTGCATTGAATTTCATCATATATTTGTACATTCATTCCACAGAGGAGTCATATTTGATTCTCTCCACAGATGCTGGCAGATCTGCTGAGTTTCTCCATCATTTTCTGTTTGTCCAGATTTCCAGCATCCTCAGTATTTTATTTTTATTTAGGAGTTGCTTGTTTATAGATTTAAGTAATTTGACATTACGAAAGAGCACATCTAAGAAATTCCTTCAAAATGTGTGGGCTAAATTCCTGAGAAGCATTTTAATTAAAATTTCTTGTCTGGCTCTGTTTCAGATCAAGCAGAACCAGGATGAAGAAAAGAAGCAGCTCTGCAGCCTTCGTGATCAGCTCAAACCAACGTTACAGTTGGACCACAAGGAGGTGAGTCTCTTTTATGATTATTAAATATTCTGGACGTAGGATTTTGTGTGAAACAGTTCATGCATAGTTCTGTTTGTGATTTGACCACAGTGCTATGAACACAATTAAATGCGCAGATTTCAAGATTTCATGAGCAAGAATGTTTCATTTATACATGGGAAGCCAACCTATACGTGCTATTAAACTTTTATATGTGTTATATGTACTATCACAATGTGCTGTAGACTTCCAGTATCTTCATCATTTGTATTTGAATGCAGTTGTATTTCTGTAAATATTAAAAATGAAAAGTGCCTCATGCCAATGGAGAAACGCAAATTTATGACCTCAGACTCCTGTAAAGAAACAACAGACTCATGCTCAAAAATAGATGATAAGCTTAAACAGAGAATTTAGCCAGGACAACTTTAAATACGTTGCCCAGATATGAATTTAGGGCTAAAATAGTCAATGCCAGGTTTCTTATTTCAATAATAGCTAGGTTCTAGAGAAATGCATTGATCCTACTATTTAAAGATAAATTGCCTATCCGTTATAGTTTAGAGGCAAGTTGGAAGGGTGTAGCTGGTATCTCCAAAATATGCATTCAATTCAGAGCTTTCTCCCTAGATTAGACAAGCATACTAGCAACTTCTTCCAGATGCTTCTGTGTGATCTATGAAGACAAGCTGCTACAAATCCAGGTCTGTGTTGCTATATTCCATAGCTGAACCTAATATGGAGAAAAACGTATCACGTTTTGTTCTTACAAAGTAACAGTTCTCTAACCATATTAAATAATTTAGAGAAATCCCATCTTTGTTAGTTTCATTTTAAGAAAGGATTCATTCATCTGGATACAATCTTAGCATAATATGTATTAAAAGGTATAGTGGTTGCTGCAAATGTGTTCAACCTGCTGTAGTGAGTGAATTATGAAACTTTTCTGTCTTTTTTATTTCCCAAAGAATCATTGATTTACCAAGCGTTTCTTTTTGGGTGAGAGAAAAGTGCTGCCTTAAAAAGATGCACATCTGTTGTTGTGATCCCAGCTGATGGTAACATTGAACAAGTCAAATCCCAGAATGAACCTGGCTTGATAGATTGTGTGTTCAATTTGTGCAGTTGGTTAATGTGGTGATTAGTCACATGAGGCTGCAGGTGTTCTGAATCAGAATGTAAGTTTATTAGATAAAAGAAAAAATATACAAAACTATATATAAAAGTCAGAAAGATCTTAATACAAACATAAAAATGTGTTTTCAACGTATTTCCCAACACCATTTATGACAGAGTATCAATCCCAGAGAACTACAACTCCTACCTCACATTTTTAAATCTTTACTTAATTGACGCTATTCAATTTCTTTCTCTTGAATTGTTCACACTGTTTTTTTAACAATTCCTTACCAGATCCACTGGTATAAACTTTTCACAATTCTGATGGCTAAATATTTTCAGTTCTAACAAATTGAAAATTTCTGTCCAAACTCTTTTGCATTGATAGTTCCACCGACTAGTAACCACGTCTGCTGAAATGGCCGGTTCCCCTGAACTGACTTGATTCTCCTGGTAGCAGAAACAATTCTACTTTCTGAACTGAACTCCACATACTTTTGAAGGAAAGCTTTGAACTTTCTGTTCTGAAGTCAAAATTAAACTAATTGCCGTAATGTGTTTACTCTGTCATAATATGTTCTGGTCCACCCACGTTGACACTACAGACAAGAAAGCACAGCAACGCCTTTACTTCCTCAGGAGGCTAAGGAAATTCGGCATGTCCAAAACAGTCCTAGAAATTTTTATAGATTTTTATAGAAAGCATCCCATGTAGATGCATCACAGCGTGTTATGCCAACTGCTCTTCCCAAGACCGAAAGAAACTACAGAGAGTTGTGAACCCAGCCCAGCTCATCACATAAACCAACCACCCATGGATTGACTTTATCTATACTTCCCGCTGCCTCGGGAAAGCAACCAGCAGAATCAAAGACCTCTCCCACCCTATCAGGCAGGAGGTATAAATGTTTTTTTGCATGTACGAACAGGTTTGAGAACAGCTGCTTCCCCGTTGTTATCAAACTTTTGAAATGACCTCTTTTATGTTAATATCGATCTCTCTCTGCATTTTCTCGGCTGCTGTAACATTGTATGCTGCACTCAGTTCTGTTACCCTAATGCAGCTGTATAGTATAATCTGCCTGTAAAGCATGTACACCAGCACTTCCCACTGTCTCTTGGTGCACGTAACTATAATAAATCAAATCAAATCATAAACCCACAGTAGAGACCTTTTAGCGATTGTTACGACACTTGGGTAGCAAGTCACATCAAATCAGACTCATCAACACTAGGTATTGTAACACAGTTAAACTAAAATATTCAGCAACCCTCAAAATTGCCCATTTATACCTCACCAGACTGGTATAATAATGTCTGAGATTTAAACCCAATCTTCTTTGATCAAAACCCCAACTCTCACACATAGACTGACAGACACAGTTAAGAGATAAATTTTAAAAAATTAGAATTCTAACTGGCGAGTTCACTTAAGCAGTTTTGAACAATGTTTGCTAAACCTTCATACAATCCTTGGATAATGAGTTGTTCACAGACATTTAGAATTGTATATCTTGTTTGAATTCCAAAGGTACCTGTCAATGCACACAGCCTCCACAGACCATTGGAGGCATTTACATATATCTTAAAACTGGGGTTCTTTTCTCAGAACTTGCAATAATTAGGTAAGTGGAAGATAACTAGAAACCAACCAAAATTTCATCCAGCAACTTTCACAACCACACAGCCTTCTGCCTGAAGCCCAATCCAAACCAGTTTGATCTCTTTCTTTTTCAACATTTTCTTTGTTTGACTGGCCAACACCAGCCTCCCCTTTATTGACCCTTTTAACATCCAGGCAGCTGCCAGTCCTTGAGCATAATACGTCTCGGGTGCCAAAACGTATGCAGTTTTCTTAGACCAATGTTGTGGGCGTGCCGATGTTGGACTGGGCTGGACAAAGTCAGAAGTCACACGATACCAGCTTATAGTCCAACAGGTTTATTTGAAATCACAAGCTTTTGGAGTGCTGCTCCTTCGTCAGGTGGAGTCACTTCAGCTTACGAAGGAGCAAAACTCCAAAAACTTGCGATTTCAAATAAACCTATTGGACTATAACCTGGTGTTGTGTGACTTCTGACTTCTTAGATCAATAATAGAGTCAAAGAGGTCTACAGCACGGAAAAAGGCCCTTTGGCCCATCACATCCAAGCTGGTCAAAAACCACCACCCAACTATTCTAATTCCAGCCTACTAAAGTTACACAATTACTAATAAATTGTTAGTTTCTGTTTAAGCTTTAAACTTTGTGTCTGGTATCTGTTGTTGCCTAATTAACCTGCTATTAACTTTCCAGGTCAGTTCCCATTTCCAAATATCAGTTTGTTTGTTTTTTAACCTTTCTTTAAAACAAACTGCTGCTCAAAGTCCAAAGTTCAACTTTCAGCTTCAACTCACGGTTCCAAACCAAAAATGAAGAAAACAGTGACAGAAATACAGCCCCAACACCATTAACACTGCAGGCATTCTACTGCAGTCACAAGCTTTCTTGAAACTGAAATATTAAGATCACTGTTTCTGACCTGTCTAGAAACAACCCTCAAAGATCTGATACACATCAATTTGTTTTTGGTTTGAATTTGAAATCAAAAATTATATTCAATATACTACACCTTTTATCATGCTGTTATTTGGTATCTTGAAAATCTTAGGAAAAGCATTTTTATTGAAAGTGATTTCTTGTCTAACTTTCCAAAGGTTATATTTCTTATTCAAGTCCGTCAAATTTTAAATTGCAACCAGATTCCTGAATGTGCCTATTTTTATTGGTTTTAGGTTATATATTGATTGCAACATATACAGAATAATTACATTGCAGTGATAGTGTCATGTGCTTTAAGGCACAAATGTTTCATGCATCACAGACTTAATTGCACTAGCATATACAAGTAATTTGAATGAAAGGATTACATTCTGTCTTCAATTTCTATTAGTTTTTGTTGGGTAAAAGCGGTTTATTGTATTAGTTTAAATACCTACATCAAATTTGAATTCTGCTACAGGATTATCTTAATGAGAGGTAACACTAATGAAGGCAGTGCATTAAAATGGAATATGCAAATAGAGTTTGCAGGTGAATTTGCAAACAAGTAAACAGATGGGAAATAAATGTAATGCCAATAAAGGTTGAGTAATGTGCAACTGAAGTACAAATTTAATGCAATAGAATGAATACAAAGGTGATTTGGAAAGAGATTGTCAGGCAAATCATTTATGTCAACCATCATCTGGTAGTGCAATTAAAAATGCTAAACCAAAATTTAGGTGAACAAGTTGAATATAGAAGTACACATTTAGTCAGGTTATATAGTATACTGATTGGGCGAGGTTTAGAATAATGTGGGCAATGTCAGTCACCGCCATTCAAAAAAATTGCAGAATCCAAATAAAGGATACAGGAAAGAGTGACAAAAATTATTTTGAGTGTAGAAGTGTGACCTTTTTTGAATGGTTTCAGAAGTTAACTTCTTAATGGCTAAAGAAGACACAAATCAAAGGGGTCTCATTCAAGTATATAGTGCAAAAAATGGCTTGGACAAGTTCAGTCTTGTATATCTATATGATTAAAAGTATGGCCTAACTTGGATCTGGCTTGTCCAAGTTGTGTCACTACCATTAATACTTTGCTTCTTCTGTTCCCAGCTCATGTAATTATTTTTCCCACAAGCTCATTAAATCCTTTCACAGGGTTAACTAATTTTTTATTTCCAATTTTTTATTTCCTTTAAGCACTCTTCTGTTCAGTGAACTCTCTTTAGATTCTACAAGCTGCCTTTTTTAAAAAAAACCTGCTGTATTTATTTGCTGGTTTATTTAATTGCCCTTATTTAGTTTATTTTCCAGTTGGCTACTAAATTAAAGTTTAGTTTGTTATGCTGTTCAGTACTTTACAATTCAACTAG